TTTAAATAAATAATTATATTTGCTCTACTCTGTATTGAGCACTTTTTAAGAATAGTAATTCTTGGTTATTGGAATTTATTCCGTATACACCAATCCTATACTTGAGTGTATATATATATATATACATATATATATATATTTCTAGTTTTTTTTTTTTTTTCTGGTTCATATGACAAAACAAATCGAAAATCGGGAACATAAAAGATAAAGGAAAAATAATCAACATCAAACTTTCTTTGCTTTGTAATCAGACATGCAGAAATGAAAAATTTCTACTGAAATTCACTCACATATTCCCCCCACCACCACTACATACATACATACATAGTGAAAGAAGAAGAGAATAAAATCAACCTTAAATCAATAAAAAGTGCATAAACTCTTTTTTAACTTAATACAAAAGTGACAAAAATGAAAAAATAAGTATTCAATTGTTGGTATCTCCTTATGAGTGGATAAGGTGATTGCTGGAGAGTACACCTACAAAACTCTGGAGTCCAGATACTGAATATAACTTTAATCAGCTAAGTGACAAATTTTATATTTTATTAATCCTATATATATATATATATATATATATATATATATATATATTATGCACTGTTACATTAGAACCTTATACATACCCACTACAAAACTGTACATCTTGTTTCAACATTAAACGTTTCTTCAGGTGGAAACCATGATGGTACTAAGCTTTGAATGCTGAAATTTTACACTTCATTCTTTCACATTTGTATATATATATATATATATATATATATATATATATATATAAATAAAAAGAAAGAACAGTAAGATATATAATCCAGTGTTCTTATAGATATTTTTATTTTTATAAAATAGTGCTCAATGTAAATTTACTGAGCATTAAATAAAGTTTACAAAATCAGAGAAATGAATTAGCTATTTTACCGATAGTGTCTTAAATTTTACTTCAATAATATTTAAATATAAAATTTTAAAAATCGTAATATACATATACTTGATATGGAAAAATAATTTTACTTACTGTAAGTAATTCTAATACATTTACTTCTATTAAAAGAAATATAGTCTATTAAAACTAACAATGAAAATATTTTAAAGATGTAAGTAAAATTGTAGTTAAATAAAATGAATCCTAACCTAAACTTCTTTTAAATTGTAATTAAATAAAACGTCTCCTAACCTAAAGACCTCCCTATTAGTACTACATGAACTTAAAGGAATCCAATAAAACACCCAAAGTAAAATGAAATTAATATGAAATGCTAGAAGATATAAGCTTTTGAATGACCCATGTTCTTTGTACTTACATGAGAAACAATATATCACTAGGTTTATATAAAAAATAAAAGTTTACTAAATCAGTGAAAGTAAGTAGCTATTTTTGCCATGATGGTCATAAATTTTACTAAAAAAAAAAAAAAAATTTGTAACCTAACAACATACATACTTATACTTGAAGTGAAAATAATTCTACATACTGTAAGGGATTCTAATACATTTAATTGTTCTTAAAACAAATATAGTATATTGAATATTAAAAGTGAAAAAATTTCAAATCATAGTTAAATAAAGTGTATTCTAACTAAAACACCCACCAAAAATCTTTAAATATAAAAAATGCGAAAAAATGCTGTAAGAATTTTTGCCGTTAACAATAAAAAATTTTTTTTTAAATCCAGACGACATGCATTTAACGGATGTTAGATTTCATTGAAAAATACATCCCTACCCCCTCCTAACCATAGCAAATAACTGATACATCTAAATATAGACATAATGAATGTGCAGACACCCCTAGTCTAGTAAAAGTGGTTTTATTTGTAACCTTGGAAACATGAATTATGATTTTAGCTGTGTCTTTAAAACCCAGTAATTTTAAAAAGTTACTCCAAAATTCGCTTGAGGATGAAATGGAACTAATGTCTTTAATTTAATTACAAAATTAAATTCTGAGCTTTTAGCTTCCATTTTTAAAACATGGTTAGAACTGTGTAGCAGAAAAAAACATATTTTAAATCAATTAATTTATAATATATATATATATATATATATATATATATATATATATATATATATATATATGTCACACAAGTTTGAGTAAATATTCCTGTTTTTTTTTTACCTATGAATCGATATTTACAAATTTGGACAATTCCTTATATCATGGAAGACTCCCATCAACCCAGATGTACGTCTCTGCTCAGTCAGAATCAAAGGAATGCTGGTTCAGTCCTTCCAAATGTCACATTTTCTTAAATAACGCCTTTGATTGTCCAGTTAGTAGGTATCAATTTCACTATTTAAAAAATAAAGAAACATGTGTACCTACTGACTATAACATTTATAGTCATGAGAAACCATGTTGGATTAGTAAAATCAATTAATCGCTTAAAAATATATAGATATAGATATATTTGTCAATTGCCTTTGTACAGTAGTAGACTTGCAATAGCTACTGGTGATGATAGTTATATGCAAATTGTGCTTAGGCAGCAATCTTTCATTAATACATGTTTGATTAAAGACCACTGAAAGGAATTTTGTTTTTTATTGACATTTTCTGCTTCTGTATAAATGAACATTATTTAATATTTAATGCATGTATTGAGTTAGTTTTTGATTGAGCACTCTCAACTTGGCTGTCTTAATGATTCAATATTCATAATTTGAGGAGACAGAAACTGTAATCATGGCTGTGAATTGTCTTTTTAAATTCATTTTTAAAATTTCATCATTATGTCATTTGTGCATTAAGATTAGAACCTCACAGACTTGACAACATTCAGGTGAAATTCTCCTTGAGGCATTCATTTGTTAAATACATTCCAAATCCTAATGCCTTGACTGAAGATCTTATTCTTTCATTTACTAATGACTGCTTAAAAATATCTGAAGCTATTTTTTCAGTTACCATACTACAGATTATGTGCATCATCAGCAAGTATTCATTATAGATGTGCAGTAGAAAAGTCATTAACTAGTAATTCATGTTTATCAATATGGGCAAGGATGACACTTTGGTTAAACAAGGGTCAAGTTAGGTGATTGGAAAAAGTGGTGGTTATATGACCAATATAGGATTTAGTGTGTATAACACTGGAAATACAATATCCTAAATGTGTAAATTTAAATGAAATTTACTGTGCATTTTTAAACAGACACTCTCTCATTTGGTTACTCAATCAGCAGTGAGATACAATGGTGTGCTTGTGTCCTGTGTAATTGTTGCTTTCATAGTGGAGGGTTTTGGGAAAAAAATAATGTATTATCCTGATTTATCAGCACCCCACCCCCAGTTAGATTCTTGAAATGTTTGGGTTTTCTCAAAGGTAAACTCATCATGTGAGCAAGATTAACGAGAATGTGACAAAGCAACTGATGGTGATCCTGGAAGAAGATTTTGCTGACGGTTTTGTAGAGTGACAGGGATGCTGGGATAAGTGCTTCAAGAGGAGTGCTTTGAAGAGGACTGTGTTGTCACTGTCTATAAAGGTTAGATTTTTTAATATTGAATAGCTAGAGTTATCATTATGTTCATGATAATTGATTATCATTATCAACTACCACATTGTATACATCTCCAATCAATTAAGAACATTAATCGGAAGGATCATGTTTTCATCCTCACAGTCCTTGAGAAAACTCCTGCCAACAGCATCAAAGCAACCATCATCAAACTTTTGTTTTTGATGGACAGGCAATGTACTCTGCACAATGACAGACTCCTAGAACAGATCCTTCACAGTAAACTCAGTGTACTGGTCAAACATGATGTGGTTTCCATATGCATTGCTATAAAGATCCACTGAAACAGACTATGATCAAGGGCAACATCAACCAACAAAACTTGGATAAACTTGCAACATATTGTTCACTATGCTATCAAACTATTTTGACTAATCAAATCTTTTTTTGAACAAAAACACTATAGAAACACAGGACATACAGCAAAGAAAAATCTAACTAGAATTGGCTGCAATGATCAGGTATAACTTGTTTGAAAAATGTTCCATGCAAGAATCGATCTTGCCACCAAAGGCATAGAGATGTGAAATGATAACAGATAAATATGGAACAAGAACCTTTCAGCGCTCATATATAAAGGCTACTTCAAAGACTCCATAGCCTAATAATAGGACAGCTTTTATTTTATCAAAAAGATATTTATCAACCTCATTGATTTATTATGGCACACAATTCCCTTGGGAATATCATACTAATCAGTCAAAAATTATAGATTGAAAATTTCAGATCAAAATTCAATTGATAACTATATATATATAAAGTGAAAGACTTTTGAACCACTCTCATAGATAGATGTATGTATGTAAATATATGTCTATCTGCATATACACATACAACTGTAGATATATGCATATGTGTGTGCATCTATTACAGATAGATAAAAAAAAACTACCTATGTATATATACCGCTTGTTTATTTATCTAACTCACTAATTGGATGCAGAAACAGGACAGATATACTCTTTTCTTCTTGGTCCCAAAATAGATTAAAAAAACAAACAAAAGTAAACTGCAACCAACAAATTCTTACTGAGTAACCAGAATCAGTACTAAAATGAGAAAATTTCTGCATCATAATTACTGAGGTATTAAAAAAAAACGGATGCATTTTTAACTTAATCCATCCTGCCATGATGCAGAATATGTAAAATAAAAGGAAGAAATGAAATTGAATTAAGGAGCAAAGAATGAAAAGAGGATTAGTGGAAAGAAAAACTAATCAAGAAAGAAAAGAAGAAAGAAAAACTGGATGAAAGAAACAAAAGAGAATTGAAAGAGAAAAAAAAGGAATTAAAGAAAGAAAGAAAGAAAGAAAGAAAAAAAGAAAGAAAGAAAGAAAGAAAAGAATGAGGAAAAAAATTGCAGATAATTGGAAAGGAAGAAATGAAAGAGAATTAAGAAAGGAAGAAACAAAAAGAATTGGAAGGGAAGAAAAGAAAGTGAATTAGAGAGTAAAAAAGAACTGAGAGAAAAATGAAAGAGAATCAGGAAAGAATAGAAAGAAAGAAATAGCAGGGGAAAAAAGAAAGAGAGTTGGAAAAGAAGAAATCAATTAGAACTGGAAGGGAAGAAAAGAAAGAGAATTGGGAGAGAAAAAAGAAAATGAATTAGAGGGAAGGAAAGAGAATCAACAAGGAAAAGTGGGAAGAAAAGAAAGAGAATTGGAAGAGAAGAAAAAGAGAATTAAGAATAAGTAAGTAGAAATAGAATTAGATGAAAGAAAAAAGAATTTGGAGTTGAAAAGAGAAAGAGGATCAGGAAGGAATACAATTAAAGAAAATTGGAGTGAAGAAAAGAAAGAGAATTACAAAAGAAGAATAGAGAATTGGGAAATGAAAAAAGAAAGAGTCTCTAGAATGAATAAGACAAAGAAAATTGGTAGGAACAAAGGAACAAGAATTGTGAGGGAAAGAAAGAATGAAAATCAATAAGTGAAAGAAAATTAGGAAAGAAAAAAAGAAAGCAAAGCAGAATGGAACAAAAGAAAAATTATGATGGAAGGAAAGAAAGAGAATCAAAGTGGAAAAAATGAAAAAGAATCCTGAAGAGAAAATAGAGAATTTGTACAGAAAAATAAAGAGAGGATTGGGGAAGAAAAAAAAAAAAGGAAGAGGATGAGGAAGAAGAGAAAGTAAATTTGAAAAGAAGAAAAACAGACAAGACACAAAAATAAAACAAAAAGAACCAGGAAAGATAAAAAGAAAAATTATAACTCAAATTATGGTGGGTGAATATGATAGAAATAACAAATCAACAGAGGAAAATTGAAGAGTTCCAGTGATTGAGAAAAAGAGGACTTCAATGACTATTGTCTAAAGAGAGGACACAATAGAAAGAATATCATGTTGCCGAAGAAATAAATTCAGCTAAAGAAACTGAAGCACATGCAAAAATATATGGTTTATCATGTAGTCTAATTGAATCTGATAGACTCTTTTATTTACTAAACTTAGGTGTCTGTCACAGGATCACGATTGTGGTATAATTATGAAGATCAGGCAACACTAATGAATTGGCCTGGGAGACAACCTTCTGATCCATTATACAATAGTAGGCATCCAATAAACTTATGGCTTTTATATGCATGGATGGTTATAGTTTGTTTAGCCATTTCCATACAGGAAACATTAGGTATTCATTAACTGAACAGTCAGCATTACCATTGGTTGAACTTATATATATATATATATATATATATATATATATATATATATATATATATATATATATATATATATATATATATATTTATGGAGACCTACCAGACACTATTCGTAGCATACTTGTTGACAACACAAATATAATAGCATTATCTACATGCAAAAAAAAAGGCTAAAAATAATGGAAGCCTTATTAATAAAAACAAAAAAAAAAAACACTTAATAATATTAACTTTGAACATGGACACAATATCTTGACCGTATCTTGAGGGTGTGATGGGTAAATTGTCGCCATTTTATATTTTTAATTTTGGACATGTACATTAATTGCTTTTGATTTTGTCAACTGCACAGTTTAGTAGGGTCAGTTGGGCACCATCTGTAAGAAAAAGAGCAGCATGACACAATTCACTATACAAGAAATTTAGAAATGGCATGCTGTACTACTTGGCATTCACACTGGAAGCTCCAATACAAACATTTCAGAGTGTTTGGGTGTCAATCTGAAGACAATGAAGAGGATTCGGAAAGAGTTGGATGAGTCTAATGGTGATTATGAAGGTGTTTGGAGTGATCACTAGTGATGGCGATGTTATGCCTTCATTCATCTACCCACAGGGCTACACACTCAACACAAGGTCCTACATCAAGTGTCATGAGGAGATAGTGCTGGCCTGTATCAAGAGGGTGGCTGCTGGAAGCTTCTATATCTGGCAACAGGACTCTTCACCATCCCACACAAACACGAGAATCCAATGATGGCTGTCAGACAATTTCTGCGACCAAATCACTCCTTACATCTGGCCACATAACTCCCCAGGCTGCAATCCCTTTGATTAACAAAAATCCTTATAGTACTGAAAAGAATTATATATTTTTGGACATTAGCTAGGTATTCACATTAAAGTAATGATTTACAAGCTATTGCCACAAGGCATTAAACATGAGTACATTTTTCAAACAATGGCAATAACAATTTTTTGCAGTCGTCAGAGATTTATTTGTGAACTGTGAATTGTCATGAATTAGTAAACATACCAAAATGTATTATAGAGGGTACAATGGGAAAATTGTTACTATCTATTTTGGTCATACACATAGTTTGTTTTTGATTTTGTTGACTGCAAAGGAAAGTAGGGTCAGTTGAGCACAATCTGTGAGAAAAAGAGCACCATGATGCAATTCAATCTGCTAGAAATTTGGAAATAGCATACTTGGCATTCATACCAGAAGCTCCAATACAAACATTTCAGATTGTTGGGGTGTCAATCTTAGAACAGTGAAGAGGATTTGGAAACAGTTGGATGAGTCTAATGGTGATTATGAAGTTATGGCAACTCAGAAAATTCACTCTGATCATTTTGATAAGAAAAGAACTCATGAATTTGTTGGTGAGGGTCTCAGACTCAACATGGAGGCCTACATCAAGTGCCTTCAGGAGGTAGTGCTTCCCTGGGTTAAGATGGTGGCTGCCGTATGTCTGGCAACAGGACTTTGCACATTGTCACACAAGAGCGAGAACCCAGTCATGGCTGTCAGACAATTTCTGCATATCACCCCTTACATCTGACCACCTAACTCCCCAGACTTCAAACCCCTTGATTATCATGTGTGGGGTACAGTAGATCAAGAGACCAACAAAACTCCTTGTAATACCAAAGATGAACTGAAGACAAAGATTAAGTCAGCATTCACCAACTTAAACAAGGGGACTGTCCAGAAGAGATGCAAGAGATTTCAAAGTCACCTTGAGGCCATGGTTGAAGCCAATGGTGATTTTATTGAATAAATTTACTTTTTAGTATTTCAAGATAATTTTGTGTAATTTTGATAAATATATGTGCTAAAATGAGATGTCAGAGTAATTTTCATTTTTGCCTCATTTAGACGACAAATTATCCATCACTGTATGTATGTATATTTAGGCAACATATCTTCATTCAAAAATGTTTCATTGAATAATATAGACATATTGTGCCTACTTATTTTAATACTGATCCTTTCCAGTTCTCTAATCAGTTTCTTGATCTAAAGTTGAAATCCATCAAGGAAGGTGCCAACCAACACTCAACAAAATTTATTGTGAATGTAGCAACAACGTATTAAAGTGCATATAACATTTATATACTAATGTCATTTTATATTTCTACCAATTCCCAGTCAGCTCCCTTATATTGAAATGCTTGTTTTATAAAAAATTCCATAACTACAATGGATAAATTTAAAAACTCTAAAGAACAATAATATAGCATGTTTACATGCATTTTTAATAAATCACTATCACAATGAAATGCAGTTACAATAGCATGTTTGTCTTTGCAATTTACCTCTGAAGATGATATTATAAATACTCGAAAGTAATTGGGTTAAAAAAAACTACAGCACCTTCCTCACTGGATTTCATCTCAGCAACAAGAAAGTGATTATACAACTGGAAAGTATCAGTATAAAATAAGTAAACACAATATGTCTATATTATTCAATGAAACATACATACATATATATATGTGTGTGTGTATGTCTGTGTGTCCATATTCATTTATGGTAATGGTAAGATGAACCATCTCCATACAAAAAACATTTGAAATTCTTTGACTGAACAGTTAGTATTACCATTGGTTGAAATTTCTTCTTTCACAGGAAAATAGACTTATCAAGTGCACTGTTATCATGCTTTCTAGTATTAATGGAATTTTCCTTCCTAACTTTTTGTTTAAGGTTGTGTGGAAAGTCAACATCTTGATTATATCACTATATTCCCTTTTAGTTACAGGTTCTATCCATTTTAGATTTTGCTCCTGTTGGTAGTTTTCAAGTGATGTGTTTTTTTTTTTGTTATTTAGTAAATGCTTTTTATAATTCTGTAGCATAAGATCTGATGAAGAACTTTTAATTATTGATCTGAGAAAACTGTTTTACATAGCTGATAGATATCACTAAATCTGTGTATCTATCTGCTTTTCATTTAATCAAGGATTTCAGAGAAACAAGAATTAGAGATGTAAAAACAGGATATAATTTATGATAGGTGTAGATAATCCTCAAGCTTAGGGTAATCTGGCTCAAGACCAAATACAGGGAAAATATGCTTGGGAGTAGTTAGAAAGATTGTCTTGGAATAGTTGGGTTGCCTCTTCTGCTTTGAAAATCAGAACCCTGTTATCTTTTTTTTTACCTGTGTATTAAAGTCTGATCAGTTATTAACTAAGCTTTGTTGAGGTTGACAATTGGTGTATCTTACTACTGCCTGGGAAAGTAGATTATTTGAAGGAGAGTAACTGAAGGATTCAATAATTGCCAAAATGAGCCTCACATGGAAATGGAATGTAATAAGTGTTGTAACCTAGGGAAGGTTACTAAATAGAATAATCAAATGAAGGTTGCTAATGAATACTTAGGACAAGAACAACACATATAAGATTCGCCAGCGGTATGTAGAAGTAGTAGTCAACTGCTAGAAGGGAGTCAAGTGAATTCCACAATGAATCTCTAACTGCAGACCAACATACAGTATTTACTACTGTATTTATGAGAATGAGGGCATACCCATTATTGTCTGTAAGTATGCTACAACAAAAAGAAATAGTTGCAGTAGGAGTAGTCAAAATAACATTAACAACAAAAATATATTTGATACTTTGATTTTATATAGAAAGCTACTGAATAAGTTTGAAAGAAATTTAAAATTCTTGTTTGAGCTTTTTAAATTTAACAGCTGCTCTAATACCAATGCCACTGTGGATTTGATTTCATTGTCAGTTAACAGCTGTTGTCTGTGTTAAGATATCTTCCCAATCTGTTCATTAGCCTCTGAAAGTTAATTTCATTTTATCTGATACATATTTAACATATTAGTTCTTGAGGCACATAATAAATGAGGCCTAAACAGAATGAAAAAAAGAATAACAGAAAAAAAAGGTTGACAATGGATATTGTCAGTATCCATCAGACTTGACAGACTACAAAGTCTATGTCATGTTAATCCCCATAGCTGACATCTGCTCAGGCACATTTGAATTTCTTCGACATCAAATGAGCCAATCTATAGTTTACACCATGGACTGGTGTCATGTAGGACAAATTTTGACAGACAGTGGGGATATTGGTGCATGGTGTTTGGTATACGTAAAACAAAACACAATAAACAAGACCGCAATAGTCAATTGTTATATTCCGTGCTAACGGAATAAACACATAACACCAGGTGGATACTAGAAGAAAGGTTTATTGTACACAGCAAGTACAATATGAATTATGGTACAGTTATACACACAGGTTAATCTAGTAGTGAGTGCCACTAATTGGAAGGTCGGACGTGCTTGCATTTTCTCTATCACTCCTCTTCCCTGACTCTCTCATAGACAGTGGACTTTATAGGTACTTACTAACTATAGTATAATCATTCATGGGGGTAACTGGTTATTCCATTACATCATCAATGAAATGGAAAAAAGAAAGTTTTTATTATTGGTACCAAATGGTTCATGGCTTGATACTGGTCCACAACACAATGATTGGGGGACTGCTAATTTATACTACAACTAACTATGTG